CATAATAATAAAGTGCGTTTTTTGTCAGGGAAAAATCATCCAATGACTTCTCCCGCCCAGGGTAAGGCGAGAGAAAGTGTCAGGCTCTTACTGACTAAAAACCCCCCCGTTCCTTCTCCTGCTCTGGGCCGAGGTCGCGGTGCCTCATTGCGCGGACCCCGCAACCCCGGCAATAAAGTGCTTACGATTGAAAATCCAAGGCTCTTCAGACATGTACCTACTATAAAAGTGCACATATCTATAAGTACTTGTTCCTACTTTTCCGACCGATAAAAAATATAGTATGCAACAAACCGATATTGACACGAACCCTCCACATTTAAATCCAACTCTCTCATTTTATAGGTTTTTTCCATTTTACCCATAAAAATAACGATAGGGCTCGCCCCCCGATGTTTTCCATGTGCTAATTCCTACACTTGGGAGAAATAACATTAAATCGTAGTGGCTTGCCTCGTTTCCAATGCTTTTCCACTAACGAACCGATAATTTAGGGGGAGGGAAGTTTTCTTTGGATTTACATTATTTTTGTTCGATTTTTCTCTTGTTTTGGTCTGTAGATGGAGAGAAGTCTTTGTTAGAGGTCTTTTTTCTGTAAATGAAAAAAAAAAAAGATTCTAAGATTTTCTGATCTAAAAGACTTGTTGTTCTATGTGAGTTTTCTTTATAAGCAAGCTGCGAAATTTAACAGTAGATAAACTATTGTCAATTACAGAAATCCAATCGTAGCTGATTAGGTACATTTAGGTTTATATTTAATAAAATTTGGTTCAAAGACCACTTTGAAGTACCACAACTTTATTTTCACCACCAAACGTAATTGGCTAATTGGTTCGTTAACACATTTTACGCGGCAAAAATAGTAGCTATGACGTCACAGCTGAAACACAGGATGTATTAAATAAAAATGGAACAAACTTTTGTTCCTAATCCAGAAATTGATGTTTCTTAATACAATTAGTCTGACCTTGAATTCCTTCAAAGATGTGACACAGAGTTCTTTCCTCAACGTTATTTAACTACTCTTCTGTTTTAGAATGATGAACAAACAGTCATCTTTTACTTTAGCAGTGATGTAACGAACTTTATCTGAAGATCTCTAATTTTGGTGTCTATATCATTATGTATGTATGTATGTATGTTAAAGTTCATATTCATGTATTGTGTATGAGTAATAAGTAGATATGCGGAATATTACCTAGTTCTAATGTGTGTGTAATAAAAATCAGAGTTTCGTATCATATTGCCATTTTATTAGATTTTTTTTATATTTGGTTTGAAAATGAGACAGACACATATGTTTTGTCTGTCGTTCCTGGAACATGCTGCATGCATAGTTTAAAATATTTTTTTAATTGTTTTGACGGTATATGGTTTTAAATTATCGTAAGACGATTTAGTACATTTTTTATTGAGGGATGATGTAGTGACCTTTCATTCTTAAATCTTTTGGTCTGAGTATTGCTTTCTTACTGATTTCATATACTTGTGTATTAATAAGTCTCCATTTTATATTCGATAGATGAGATTTTTCATATTATTTCAAATTCAGTTCAATTCAAATATGTATTTATAATAATCGAAATTATTATCCATCTAGTCAATACTATTGTTATGCGAATATAATTGAAACATTATATATTAAGCGAATCATTTTATTGACGCCCAAAATTTAGTGATTTTATTTATAAAATTTCAATTTACGACAGGATAATTAAATTGTATTTTCGTTTATAAACATGTTTGTAACGTGTCGGAGCATCAAATAGATTTTTGTTTACATCGTTTGTAGGTCATTAAATGCTGAGAGCAATTAACTTTCATTGCTTTTAACGAGATATATGTAATAATTTGTTACCATGTGTTTTTTGTAGATGTACGTACTACTACTTACTTATATCATACTCTGTACCATTGAAGTCAAATCGTTTATTTCAAATAAAATTACAGGCACTTTTGAACGTCAAATGAAAAAAATATATCAGGTTTTTTTTGTGAGGGGAAAATCATCAAATGACTTTTCTCGCCCAGGGCCGGGCGAAAGGGAGTGTTACTGATCGTGTTTTACTCTTACTGACTTAAAACCCCCTGTTCCTTCTCCTGGCTTATTGAGACGCGCGCGGAACGATACGCGCCGCACGCTCGGGCCTGGTTCTGGTCGGGCGGCGAGCTGCCCTTACTCGCCGACCGCAGACCCGCGCCTACGGTGGCCGGAAATCGTCCCTTGATATATCAGAAGGTTAAACTTTATACATGTCACTCAGTCCGTCTGTCCTCTAGTGAAGCTATTTGCTATTTATAATAATATAGCTATTTTGAAATACCTAAAGGTATGAAGTTAGACTATTTTTTTGGTAACTTTAAATACAACGTTACATTTGCCATTATAGACTACGAATGCGACAGAGTTACGTTATCAACACATCATTTAACTTTTGTTAATCGATCAAGTTGTACGTAACATCTACATATAATAGTGTAGAAAGAATGGGTAGGGGTTGACATATGAAACATAAATGAAGATAAAGTTTTGTACTGCTTTCTTACTTACGTACGTTTGTTTATAAAATGAACAGCTTTTATGTATAGATATGTAACGCCAATCTATCAAATAACTATTGTATTGATTTACATCGGCGCCATCTGGGCTGGACACTTCGATATTTATCATCTTAGCACCGGTTGCATTCAAGATTTTAGTCATAGTATTGTTGAACAACACATCAAAACATTTCTCTCAATTGATTTCGACTTTCAAGTATATTCTTAACCATTAGCAATTTTCAGTTGTAATGATAACGTAAGAAGACATATTTTTGTGCAAAAAAAATCTACAAAAAATGCTTGAAAGTATTCAAACTACAAAAAGAATAAAGTAAGAGTTGATTGTAAGAAAATAAGTATCATTTGAATAGCTATAATGACAGCACCAATAACATCGTTAAAGGCATTGAATTGGCTGTTTCAACGTCCCCCCTCATAAGCCTTCGCTATTGATCACGTCAAGACACAGGTTGGACACAATTTCCGGCTACTACGTCAATTTCATCTGATTAGTCGTCTGTTGGGATTCCACGTAATTTTATCCAACAACGAAAATAATGACTACTGGGAAGCTTATAGTGTCTTTGATGTACCCAATAGAATCTTTAAGACGTTTCGACTTATCCCGTTCGGGTTGATTTCAGTTATTATTTGTTTTTCTACGTAGGTAAGTACATTATTAAGGATTTAAAAATTCTTAGTAAGGGCTGTCTGAACATGTGTGAGCTGTTTTGGTGGGGCATGTAAACTTAACAAGAAGTAACATGATATGTACGTACCATTCTAACTAAATTCCACTAAGCGGAAGTACGCTTAGTGGAATTATTATATATATATATTTAAGAACAGCATAAATTTTTTACGTAATTTTACAATATTTGCCAATATTAAAAAAAATATAAGTAGGTACATAAATACTTTTAAGTACCTATTTTGTACGATTTAATAAGTTTCTGACATTTTTAAAACTATTCTAGTCGTAACATTATCCTGTTTTCGGACAAAAACCATTTCAGAGAAATAAATATTGTCTGTAAACTAACGACACTTCAGCCATCTTTGAGAACACTTAAAGCTAGGTCATTGTTACCATGCGAGAAATTACGACAGTCGTTACTAGTTCGACGGCCAAAAATAACAATGCCTCGAACTAGGACTGAACTGATTTTATGTCATACTAGTGAGTCGTTTGGGACTTATAGTCGGTCTTAGATCTATACAAAAGAAATTGAATTTGGTGACTGTGACTCATCCTCACTCGCAATAGTTCACAGTAGCGAAATCGAAATAAAATAATATTCAATTAAATGTAACTTATTAATCAGTCCATAGCTCGGATTATAAACAAATGAAACAATTTAATGAATATATCTTTACTAATATTATAAAGAGGTAAAATTTTTATGTATGTTAGTTTGTTTAATTTGTATGTTGGGGGTTATCTCTGGAACCGCTGGTCGGATTGCCAAAATTCTTTCACTGATTGATAGCTACAACATTCTAAACTGGGTTAGGCTATAAAACATTGCACTATGATCAAATGAAGCCGAGCAGCGGGTGAAACCGCGCGAGATTAGTTAGTCTCTAATAAAATTTCAGATTGGTCTATCTCCCCAAGAAAATTATCTATCGTTTTTGTAGATTTTTTGGAACTCTTATTAAAAGTAACTTAGTACCTAGTTAGATTCGTACTGATAAAACTTTTCACATTACAAAAGTCTGTCAGTACTTGTATGATTTTTGTAGATATAATATTTAACTAGGATCTAATCCCGCCTTACGACAAACTCGACTGATCCGATAAATGAACTTATACAAAAGTTTAATATTACGTTACGCGTCGAAAACGCGGGATTGCGATCTTTCCCGACGACTGACTTTTGCCAAAGTTAAATAAGCTACGCCAAGAGAAAACTCGGCCAATCTACCTTGCCGAATGTAGGTACGGTTCTCTTAATACTAATATCGAAGTATTAATATAATTGAGGTTATAAGTATAATTTACCTTTGTGCGTTCCTACACCTGTACCGGAAAATTATTTGTACTTCTTGTTCTGTCGGACATCGATTATTGACATGTGTTGGTTAAGGCAATACAGACTTCTTGAAAAATTATTGTAATAGTAATAGCAATATTTGATTGGCTTATCATAATGTTATAAAGATGTTACAAAGGGCTAAAAGCTTTGTGAGCACATTGCTTGTAATCCTTCCTAATTAGGTACAACTAAAATTGTTAATGTATCGTTTCATATACTGAGGTGGATTCATTTTTAATGCGGACAGTTATTAATTTTTAATCACTATTACGTATAGTTGTAGTTAATTGATTTCTGTCGTTAAAATATTTGCTACTTTTTGATGAATTTTACAAATGAATAAGAATTGAATTTTCCCATCTTTCAAATTTTCATTCTTTGAAAATCCTTACTAATTGCAATTTAATATTGTTACAGGTTCTACAGCGTGCTTACTAGACAGAATGGATTTCGTAAACAATAGGAGTATCACTACGGGGAGTTCGTTTTATGAGGAATGTTGCTGTGATGACTCGTCGACTTCGAAGGAGCTAACATGGCTAGATCCTTACAAAAGAATAATTGCGGGGTATGTTATTATGTCTAATACTTTATAAGCCCTTTTAAAACCATTAAATTAAGTTAAAAAAAATGTTCTGAACCGAATAACTCTTATTTTCATCTAGATGATTACTTATTACAACCTAAATATAATAAGCCTCTTCTCGTGGAGACAAGGTACATAGGTACTGGTAGCGTTAATTGTTAGGACAATAATTCAAACCTATTCTACTTTTCTGTCTTTCTGAATATTTAATTTGTTAGCTGTAAAGTCCTAAAAATAACATTGTTTCCACAAGACCAGGTACAGATTCAAATTTGTACACCGAAGAGCAGAGTGGCTGCCTGTCCCTTCATATTCCTAGTGCAAGCAAGACAATGTCGGGAGCTTACAAGTGTATATCTTCCCACGAGGGAAAACAACAAATCCAAACTCACTACCTGGATGTGTATGGTAAGCTTAGTTTTGAACTATTTTATGGCTTTCCTGCATTTATTTATTAATACTATTTTCTTCTTTGCTTGGGTCAAAAATATATCGAAACATTAGATACACGAAATGTAATTTACTTTCATCGTTGTCAATACTGTGCTTGGACAACCAATTAAGAAATAACATGATTGTTTTGAAGCCTTACACGCTCACAGATTGAGGAAGCTGCCAAGGGTTCCAATTGATTATAACCTTTATTTATTGTTTGTTTAAAGTACATTTATGTTATTTATGATATCAACAGATCCATTGTACTTTTATGGCACGGCTATGGAGCAGTATTTGGTGTTCAGCAATAATTCCTTGATCACGTGTCAGGCAAACGGAGCCACGCCTCCTTTTATTCGATGGTACAGAGGAAAGGAAGGAGATAATGAGGTAAATTGTTAAGGCATTACAAAATTTCTGTAGAAAATAGAAAAATACTTATAAGCACCGGGTTTTAGATAGTGACTGAAGTATGAAGGTTTGAGTACAGAGTTATGATTTACTGTGTAACTTTTTATAGTTAGTCGATTGGGTTATGTCTTTGTTTGTGTAATAGGTCGGCAAACTAGCAGATGGATTACCTGATGATAAGCAATCAGCGCCGCGGATTAGTTACGATTGCGTTGCCGACCTTTTAGGGATTAGGGATTTGGAAATTTAGGGATTGGGGAGGGGAAGGATCGGGATTCCGGTAACCTCACTCACACGGCGAAACACAACGCTGTGGTTGTTTCACGCCGGTTTTCTGTGAGGCCGTGGTATTACTCCGGTCGAGCCGACCCATTCGTGCCGAAGCATGGCTCTCCCACACTTACTTGTCTACTACAAAGACAAAATAAAATCGGAGGCAAGTACCAACATTTCAATTGTAGTAATTCGACACACTAAAAGAAAAATAGTGATGAAAACTTACGAGTATTTTTTATTTTTAGATATTCAACAACACGGAAAAATATCAAATCATGCCAGAAGGTTTAATAGTGAAGAATGTGAGCAATGATGATGAAGGGATATACAAATGTTCAGCATCTGTTCTGTCCACTGGTGAAGAAGTGGAACTCGATATTCAAGCTAAAGTAAGTTTTATAACCTGCTTTCCTCAATAAATGAACTAACAAACACAAAAATAATTGTTCAGTTCGAACCAGCAGTTCCGGGGATTAGCGAGTTCAAACTAAAAAATCTTCAGCTTTAGCATAAGTATAGATTATATATTATTCACAAATATCTTGACTGATATAGTGGCTACTCATACATTATGAAACAGATTATTAAGAATTGTAATATTTTGTTTAAAAAGGCGACAAACTAGCAAATACGATACCTGAATTTGGCGTCGTATAATAAACCCTAGCAATACTTTGGTGATATGCTCCCAATAACCTTAGTCACAGTCACATATGACTAATAATAAACGCTTTGTAAAGCTAGAAAATTGTATCTAATTAACAGGTAATGACGCCACCAGTAATCACCCAGTTATATGGAAGTCCTGATTCAGTGGTAGCAAACGGGGAAAGTCTGATGATCCAGTGCTCTACTGAAGGTCTACCCGAACCTGAAGTAGCGTTGAAAAAGATACCGGAACCGGTAAGAAAAATATATTTTATTGCAAATCCGATTCCATCGAAATTTCATTAAATTACATGATCTCTTTGAATATTTAAAAGTAGGTTTCGTAAATCGAATAGAATCGAAGTTTTGTTTTTATAATTTTTTTTTCAATTCTTACATGTAGGTGTTGTCAAAAATCGAAATTAGAGTTTTTGGATTTATCAATTAATATTCATTCGTAAGAAACCTACAGATATTTTCCTATGTAAAATGCGAGTGATTCGAGACTGTTTATTATGTTGAAAATTCGAAACTACTTTCTAACTAGTGACATTTTCTAGAGGCTTTTTGTAGGGGATGTCATAGTGTCATTTTGTCAGTCTCAAAAGATTTGAGGTCGGTAGTAAAGTTTTATTAAATCTGACAGCTCACTTACTTACCTAAGAGTCACCGAGGACTCATTTTAGCTACGCAACTTGAACGGACCATAAAAGCAAGTTCGTTTGGTACTTTTTACTAGCACTTTGTAGACTGAACTTACGACGAGGTTAATAGTAAAACTAAAGTTGAGTGATGGTCATAAAGGTTTTGCTCTAGTTCCGAGATCTCTGTTTGAAAGTGTGTTTTAATGATTCAGATTTAAAGTTTTTATTTCCTTGTTTGCGTTACCTTCAATGTTTTATAGGATAGATTTATACATTGAAGGTTGTCTTAAAGTTATTTTTTTTTGGTTATGTACGATATCTGCTGCTAACAGAGAGGTTAGGACCCAAGGTTCAGTTGCAAATATAAGTTGAATAGAGCTGTGTAGAAGACCGCATTCATACATACGCATGCAATGTAGAGAATTACCAGATATAGCGAAGCAGTCAGTTGTAGGTATATATGAATGTTGTGCTATAGAGCTCACTTCTTACAATATCATCATTATATGTATATATAGAGTACCTAAATGTAATTACGATATATTCTATACTAAATTAGATAATATATTACGGAAACTTAGTATACTTAAAAATAAAAAGATTATCTTAACAGGAGACTTTAATATTGATGTTATGAAAAAGAATAAAATTTCATTAGAATTCGAATACTTTCTTCTGCAATACAACTTAAAATTAGCACTACATAAACCTACTAGATTAAGTAGCAATACATGCATTGATAACTTTGCTCACAGTTACCAGAAAGAATGCAAAGCTGAGATTATTGATTTGGTACTTTCAGATCACACCTCGCAATTACTCAAAGTTCCCATCAACAAAATATGTAAATTAAAATTTTGGAAATCAAAAAAACAAGATCTGTCCGTAGACAATTTAATTAAATTTAAGAGACACTTATTGAGTTTATCTTTTTCTCAGGTCTATGAAACCAACGATGCAAATAAGGCTTATAATTATTTTATTGAAGATTTCTTATTACTCTACAGACTATGTTTCCCTGAAAAGTATGTGACAATATACTGTAATAAAAAAACTAAATGGATTTCTCATGGAATCAAAAGATGTAGTCAAAAACAAAGACAATTACTATGGGCTTACAGATTAAATCGTAATTCAAAAAACAAAATTGACTTTAAAAATTATTCAGCACGCTATCGAAAAATTATAAAACTAACACAGAAAGCGCAAAATAATCATTTCATTAGGTCTGCTAATAATAAAACAAAAGCTGCTTGGAGTGTTATAAATCAATCCAAGTTATGTTTGCCTAGTGCACCAATATCAGCTATTAAAAGAGATAACAAAACTATAACAAATCCTACAAAAATCGCAAATGAATTTAACAATTATTTTATAGATAGCATAGAAAATAATATTCATATAAAAAATAATCCCAATTCTAAACCAGTATTCGAAAACGTAACCTCACAATCATTGTTTATGATGCCTGTATCTAAAGACGATGTAATTAAAATAATTAGTAGCCTAAAAAATACTCCTACTGTCGGCTTTGATGGTATTTCAACTAAAGCAATTAAGTATGTCAAGGAAGTAATAGCAGCGCCATTTTCTCAAATAATCAATTTATGTATCACTAATGGTATATTTCCGGAAAACCTAAAAAAAACTATAATTAAACCCCTTTTTAAAAAAAATGATAAGACTGATATAAAAAACTACAGGCCGATTGCGAAAATTCCTATATTCTCTAAAGTTATTGAAAAAGTGATTTATAATAGTATTAATAATTATTTTGAAAAATACAATTTATTCTGTAGTGAACAAAAGGGATTTAGAAAAATTACAAATATTAACAAGGCATTATATGATCTACTGTCCAATATAATGACTTCAGTAGATAAAAGGCAACCAGTCTGTGCTATCTATACCGACATGTCCAAAGCTTTTGACTACGTAAATCATAAAATCTTACTACAAAAGCTTTATGCTTATGGTATAAGAGGGAACATTCTTAATCTATTGAAATCATACCTAAGTAATCGATGTCAATACACAGAAATATCTAGAATTTGTCCTACATTGAAAACTGAAATTATACACTCTTCCAAACCAAGAGAAACAAAGTATGGCGTCCCACAGGGTAGTGTGTTGGGACCACTTCTCTTCCTCATATATATAAATGATCTTCCTAAAAATAAAGATTATAAAATGGTCCTCTTTGCTGACGATAGCACAGCTATAATTAAATGTATAAATCCCAACAATTATCAAAACTACATAAATAACTCACTAAGTGAAATAGTAGCATGGCTCAATAGCAACAATCTTGTTATTAATTTAACGAAAACTAAAATTATGCATTTCAATCAAAGATGTAAAATGTCAGATATTAATGTTGAATATGATAATATTAAAATAGATGAAGTTAATAATGTAAAATTTTTAGGTATAACAATAGACAGTAACTTAAATTGGAAACCTCATTTGGATGTAATTTGTAAACGCCTAAATAAAGCTGCATATCTTCTTTTTCAACTATCCAGAAAAGTAAATATTGAAACTTTGATAACTGCTTATTATGGACTAGTAGCTTCAATTTTGAGATTTGGTTTGATGTTTTGGGGACAGTCAACTGATAGAGAGCTGGTTTTTAGGATGCAGAAGAGATGTATCCGTTCAATGTGTGGTCTTAAAACTACAGACAGTTGCATCCCATATTTTCGAAAATATAAACTCCTAACTTTTACATCTCTTTACATTTTGGAAGTCGCACTGTTTGTCAAGTCTAATCCACAACTATTTCTGAAAATATCTGATACTAAAAAAATGCCCACGCGTTCACAATACATAAATAAATTATGTCACGTAAATTGTAAGACCGCTCTACTCAAAAAGAGCTTTTTTGGTTTGGCTCCAAGGATTTACAATAAAATTCCCACCTCAATCCAAGATTTACCTCTTAGTAAATTCAAAAGGGCTCTTCAGGCAGTATTAATCGAAAAATGTTATTACTCTTTGGATGAATATTTGAATGATATGTCTCTGTGAATTTATTGTTGTTTGTTTTATTTTCCGATTATTTAATTATTTTTTGCCAATTCAATGTTAAGTTAGTTTATTATTTTATGTTTTTTCTACTACATTTGTACGTCTTAATGACAAAACATAGCGTTCTAATTTTATTATAAGATCTTTATTTTGTCAATACCTATGTTTTACAAATAAATATATTCTATTCTATTCTATTCTATTCATAAATAATTATACTTAATTCTCGTTGAAATTCAAAAATAAAGATAAAACTTGAATTACTTTCAAAAAAAATTACTATCTTTTTTCAAAGCGATTCCTTGGTATATCATTGATTTATCATGTAAACTAAATACATAATAATATATTCTTTATTTATTTCAGTCTCCAGGTGAAAACAAGACAGTTCCTTGGGACGTGCATTCAAAAGGAATAATTCGTTTTAAAAGTATAACACCAGAAGACGCGGGCACTTACGAATGCACAGCTAAAAACTTCGTCGGAGAGTCTAAACAGCAAATAACAATTACAGTAATACATATTTTAACTATACATTTACTATACGTCCGTTTAGATTAATTATTCATTAAACTGACATTATAACTGCCTTTTTTGTCGAGTGCTAATTGTTGTGTAAAGGGTCGAGAAGACAGAAACATTTGATTATTTTCAGGTTAAAATTTCTCAGTAGTGTCACGAAATTGGTAAATTGTGCATGATAATTGGCAATAGGCTCACTTCCTTTTACATATACAAGACTTATAGCATAACTAATGAAAAGTGATTCATTATTTATGTGTTGTGATATTATATCATACTATATACCTAAGCCTTAGGTAATAAAAGTCATAACGATTTATTTTTTCCTATTCAATTTGAAGATTATCACAAAGGTCCAAATTGAATCCTAATCGCATACAAATAAGCCTTCAAATCTTTTGTTTTATCGTCAGGTACTGATCAGACCAGAAATCATTGGCTTCACGAATAGATCCGCTATAGAGGGTTCAGTAATACCAATGTTCTGTAACGTGACAGGGGTACCCCTACCAAGGGTTCTCATTACTTTCGAAGGCAAAAGTTTGGATGAAGAAAGGTACGTAAGAATTTGTAAACTGTCTTACTTATAATTTCATTGTTAATGTAGGTACTCTATGGAACGACCAAATAGCTCCTCTACACACTGACCGACAGAGACTTGATACATTTTGTCTTTAAATCCTTATTTGACATTCAAAAGTACCATTTTAGTAGTAACTAATTGAAACAAATGACTGACTTTTTTCTTTTTGACCTGAACAATAAATGTCAACATACACAATAAAACAACGAATGTTAATATCGATATTTTTTTCAGAGAAACTGATTATGATGAAATTGTTGAAAATTTCTCACTATTGAAAGTAAACAGATCGAGTGAAGGCATATACATTTGCAACGCTACTAACGACAGTAAGTTGACTTTTTATTAAATATCCGCACAAACATCATAAAATATTATCATTATGATTACATTGGTGTTAAAATATTTGAGAAGATAAAATAAAATAAAAAGAAATCTTTAGTTGTACAACATATCTGATAATCTTGTATCTTTCATACACAAACAAGCCTTAGATAGTCCTGATGATTGATATAGGTATAAAACCTTTATACTTTTTCCTAAAACTCTTATTATTTCCATCAATACCAGTGGATACGACGACGGAATTGATGTACCTGACGGTCTTGCATCAGCCGTACTTCGGCAAGACTTACGAACCGCTCTGGGCCTGGAACGGTGAAACTGTAAACATTAGCTGCGCTCACGATAGCAACCCACCCGCCAATTTTACTTGGAGGTATGTATGTTCCGTTTCTGCTAGTTATTTCACTCAATTTTACTCCTACAATATACCTTAATGAGTAAAATCTAAATAGCTCTTTCTATATTTTTCCATTTTAAATTATGTGTCTTGACTACAAAAGTCGAAGTCCACTCTTTGTAGTTATATAGGGAGAGTAAAGTTCCCCAAGATCTGAAAAGGAATATAATCCGACTCAGACGAGGTGATCATGCCAAACTGGTGTTTTCACTTGCATGATGTAGGATTTGTGACGTCATCATCTTAATGTTTTCGTCGATATTCAAAGCGTGTCACCACAATAACGTAACTTATTTTGTAAATTTCTTCTCATTTCAATCAAAATATTCTATAGCTAAGTTATTGTAGGTTAATCTAAGCAACCATACGTTGAAAAATATATCTTTTCTAGCTTCGTACCAGGCAATTTCTCAACGATAGAGCGACAGGAGCACGACAATATTGTTTTGGATTATGAAACCGCATTGGAGCATTCGTTACCATTCTCTGAGCAATTTGCACCATTTGGAAGACACGAGTGCAGAGCACGTAACGAATATGGCGAGGCTGTTAAAATTTTTCACATCAGGAAAGGAGCTGTTCCATCGGTTGTTGAAAATGTAAGTAAAATTTGATGACTTGTGACAACTCCCATTCCTTTTTCAATTTTTTTGTAACGACATGTTTAGCGTCAATAGGATACTTACTTCTTGAATATTAGCTAATAAAATATGAATACGTTTCAAGTATAATTATAGTTAAATCAAAGACTAAAAGTGTGATTATGTGAAAATCTGAGAAATATGTCTTTTTGCTAATCAGTCTAGAATTATTCTTGGTGATCGGCAATAGACCAGCTCAGTTACAGGGAAATACATAACGACAATTATTAATATCATTTTACGTTTAAAATTGTTGAAGAGACATCGTATTTATTGTTTGTACATAGGTTTTAGTTTTTTTTCCATAATAAGCACGTTTTCTATGTCTACTCGTCATTTCTGTCAGTAAAAAGCTACTTGGGAATGTTTCGTCAGTCTCGTATTCATCTTACGACCTACTTGTCTAGCTTTAACGAGAAAATACAAAACCAAACCTTTTTATGTAGTTCCCATTTCACACACTGAACCGTGAATTTCACCTTTCAACAAAAGAAAAGAATTTCAAATTATGCATGCATTATAATTTGTAAGTTAACAAACTAAACAAACACAAAGTTAATTTGAATCACAAATAGATACTGTTATTGTACTAAAATATTTTATTTGAATCAAGTAAGCCACTTTCCTTTCCTTTTTTCTCGTTACAACTACGTAGTTTTAAACCGTGCTTCGGCTCAAATACTTCGCCAGAGTGACATCTAGCCTAATAAAATCAAGATAAAACAACGGCTGCGGTATGTTTCGCCTTGAGAATGAGGTTGCTTGAGGTCTAAGCCTCTACCTCTAACCCTCAAACGACGCCAAACTTTTCTTCAAACAACATTAATTGCTTATCGACAAATCATTCAAAATAATTCCCATTTTTTTAACAATAGGTTCAATACAAAATAATCTTTACATTTAATCTCAGAGAATATCAGCGGAATAGTTTGACAAAAGGACTAACGCATTTGCCATACATACAAAAATACATATGTATATATATATGTAGACAAATTGTAATAAACCCATCTCAATTCCACACTATCTTCCTTTTTATGTACACCTTTAAGATTTACTGTAAATGAAGGCACTCTTTCTTGTAGACACAAAGTTTCTCAAGAAAATGTATTCAAAGGAATCATATTTTTTTATTTCTTTTGCGTCTTGTTTACTTTATCGTTGGAGCGGTTGTGATTTTTTTAAACAAATTTTTAAATAAATTCTTAAAGAAATACTTAAAAGTTGATTGTAAGCTTTATTCAATAACGTTTTTACAGATATTATCAAAAATAACAATAATTTCTTGTAGTGTCTAGAGGTCTTTTCATTTCCAAAATATTGAGCTATGAATTAATGTAACCAAAATCTGAAATGAATCATTATATTCTAGGCAACAACATTAGAAGAAGCAGCGACCTCAGCTACGTTCTACATTGAAACTCCAACAAACTACGAAGGACCTGACGTCATAGGTTTCATAGCGGAGTATGATGAGATAGACAACTATGAAATCACCAACATTCACCCAAATAGGACTTGGGCTGCAGGAATCCCATTCAAGCTGGAGAAACTTAGATCTAACACCACCTACTACATTAGGTTCGCTGCAATAAATCGCGTTGGTACCGGAGAATGGAGTGAACAGCTTGCGTTTGAAACTATGGACAAGTAAGTTTATCTCTAAGTACTACACTTAAATGATATCTAATAGTGTAATAGTTCGTAAATGTGTTTGTGTTGATATTTCAGTTTGTGATTTTGTTGATTTGTAAATCAATCCAAGTGGATTGGGTTCATTTTAAGTTATAAGTTGTTGACCGCTTTCAGTTTCGTATAGTTTATTTATAGTGATCCAGACAACTTGGCTCAATCAAAATCCGTCATAGATGTTGATTAGTACAGTCAAATTAACATAAAATATGTTAATTAACAGGGTGTTTTTACTTAATAGAAATATAGACAATAAACATTAATTAGCCATATTCAGCTTTCATTCTGTTATTTTCAACCAAACTGTCGGTTGGATTCTGTTTGCGTACCTACGTCTCAAAATTGTTTTTAAAAGACAATATTAGTGTGGTAAGAATCAGTAGCCAATTTTGTCTTCTTGAAGGAATTTTTACATCATCAAAGAAGGTATCATTAGAGACTTGAATTAAGTAAATAAAGAAAATTATTTTCTTTCAACAAAATAACTTAATATGATATTCAAAATATTTGTTACTCTGCCTATTACATACGTATCTACCGCCTACGCACAATTAGGTACTTTTTTATCTTTTGTAGTGTGGGCGTTTTTACTCTGTGTAAAAAACAAGTCAAAATCATTATTAAGTAATAGGACCCGATTTAATTAAGATGACGGTGCAGAATTGTCCTACTTGATTATCAAATTTGATTGAATTTATTGCTACAAAAAATATTGATTGGGCAGTCCAAAATTGTAGGAAGCTTCGTTCGACACTTCGTTAGGGAAATCTTGTTATTATTTTATCAAATTGTACAGTACTGTTATTACGATTGTAAGGGACCTTTTATTTATATACTGTAGTACTTAGCTGTGTGAAATCAATAACAAGGGTGTTTTTGATTTTATTTAATTCACAAAATCTTGATTATGGTAGCCCACGTAAACCTACACTTTTCTATTTTTTATTCATCTCATTCAGAACATTCGCAATTTTCTTGAACGGTTGGTATCTACAGTTCACAAAGGCATAACAGACATCAAATCTCAAATTCCAATTCGCTTACTATTCAAAACCCTAATATTTCACAATAAATACAAAAAAGAATCTTAAAAAATAAATTATCTTTATAGGTCAGCCCCAGAACCTCCGATATGGCAAGTGGATCCGGTCGAGATATCGTCGAACAAGGTGCTCAAGTGGAAAGCTCCGGAGAACAACGGCGAACCGATAGACTACTACGCTTTACGATACTGTCCGGTACGTGCCCTGTGACGTCATTAGGCATGGACGGCTGGGGGTCACAGCTAGCTTCGTATTCCCACAATGTACTTGGGTTATTAGAATATCGTAGCACTGTTGAACATGGTTCTGGTGAAGCAATGAACTTACGTAGTATTGCTTGTTAGAAGCGACCTTGTTTTGCTATACGTATGGGAAAGCATGCCAAAAGTATGCATACTCTTAAACCGATAACCGAATCGGATTCTCAAACCCTTACAAAAATGTTTACAGAAATAAAATGTAAATATTTTTGTGAGGTTTGAATTAATAGTATGGTTTAGAACTTAAGGCATAAGAGAAGACTTTTAACCAACAAGTAGGTAGGTGTATAACTTATCAGAACTCAAGTAATATAATTTGGCTTTTCAATTTTAGCTTTTGTTTTACTTCATCGTAGTCGACTTTTTAGTATCTTTTGCTTACCTACTTTTCCTTCAGTTCGGTTCAGCTCAAATAATTAGGTAATTTTTTCAACTATTCACTTCATTTTTTATGAAGGTACCAATGTATTTAAAAAAAAAAGAACTTAAACTACACCGGCTTGCAATAAATGAAAAATATTCGTTTACGTTCAAACTGTTTGTCATTTTATCAGTGGGATTGCGTTATTTTACAGTCATCCTCAAGAAGTAATAAAAATATTTCAAATATCTTTATCAAAATCCGTCTTAACGGCCCACCATCTTTTGTAACTGTCAATCATAATGAAATAAATTGTTATTACAGGATTTTCATTTATCATTAATTAATTACACAATAATGGCTTGGATTTGTTTACACGATTTAACTGTTATACTTAATTGAATTAAAAACAAAAAAGATTAAAAATATAAATATAAGTATATATCTATCTAATGTAAATACAATATGTTTTATATATTCAGTAACAGACTTAAACTTAAAAACTTACAATAAAAATTAGATATGTGTTTGGTAACCAAGTAATACATATTAAAACGGTGATATTTTATTATAGACTTTAGTGAATTTTAAATATCTCATCACTATAAATAGTGATGAGATATTTAAAATTACTACACAGTACAGTACTTTTCTAACTTGCTGTACAGTTTTAATAAATCAGAGCAAAAACAGTTTAGACAAGGTCACTGGAACTTTACTTCTCTGACATTCTTTTCCGCCCCGCCCAGGGCAAGAGTAGCCATCCATGATTTTCACCTCTCAAAAACGAAAAAAAAAAAAATTGCTCGTTACATCGTCTCCTCATAAAAAAATTTAACAGTTTTCACTATCACGGGAAGAATCCCTGAAGTAGCAAATAAACAAAACCGATTTAAATTCTACATTTAAAGACAGAAAGGATTGGGCCATCGGTAACCTCACTCACACGGCGAAACACAACGCTGTGGTTGTTTCACGCAGGTTTTCTGTGAGGCCGTGGTAGCACTTCGGTCGAGCTGACCCATTCGTGCCGAAGCATGGCTCTCCCATACTTTACTTATTTAATAAGATTATGTCTTTCCTACAGGTGGATGAAGAAATAGTCGAATCGTTATGTATAGAACATCGATTGGAAGGAAAAACAGAATTATTAGTGAATGAACTACAGCACAACACTACTTATCATTTAGAACTGATAGCACACAATGCCGAAGGAAACTCTACTCCTGCCAATATAACACTTACGATACCAGGTAAAAATTCTGAGAAAAAACTTTCATAATATGGAAAAGTATCAAAAGATTTTACTGACGTGCAAAAGATTTTATGAACAGTTAAATTTTATGGTGTTAAGGGCTAAATTTAACGATTCCTTTGAACACAAGTTGTGATATTAGCTATTATTCTTTAGTATTCTTCTTTTTATTTGTCAGTATCAATTCAATCGTAAGTTTTTAAAGGTTGACCTGGAGAATTACCAGTAGTCATACCTGATTAAACCGCACTGATGGACGTTGATCCAGCGCAATATCTCATAATATGTACGTTATGACATAACTAAATCTTTACTAAAAAGAAACTTCAATCAGTCAATATATTAACACCATCATCATAATGGTCCTTGTGAGTCTACTGCTAGATTAAAGGTCTCTTCTAGGTATAAAAGAAAAGTATGCCATGATCTCCACTTATGGTCAAGTTGTTTTAATCGATCGACAACACTGTTTTAATCGTTCACATTTAAATATGAGAACGCTGCTGCATGGTCTTAATCTTAATACCGTAACATGTCACGTTTCAGATGAACTCGCCTACGCATCGGTCTCAGCATTAACAGCAGGAGCACTGATAGGACTATCCATAGCCGTAGTGATAATATGTCTCGTACTTCTAGACGTATTGCTGTACTTCTGGAAAAAACAGGGTATTATAGCAAGCTGTTGTTGCAAGAAAAACAAAAAGAAGAAACCAAATCCCTTAAATTCACGGTAAGATTAATTCATTTAGTTGTGAGATATTTGAGCAGTGTGAAATGTAGATAGAAAAACTATTTTCGTGTGATTTTTTATTGTGTTCCATACATTTTCTTTTCAATCATCGCTTTAAAGCTATGTATAAATTGAATTTTCCTAACCTTTCATAAATTCATTACCTCAGTTTTCGGAACCTTACTCCAATAGCAACTTTAATAAATTGTGCCATTACGTGAAGATATTAAAAACTCCTAAATCACGTGGATTACCCTCAAAAATCTTCAACTTCTAAAATCCCTACCAATTATGATTAAGGAAAAGTAATAAACGACAAATCAAATCAAAATTTATTAAGCCGACCCGAATTCAATCACGAAAAATTCAATTCTAAAGGAGATTTAATTAAAAAAATTGAGAATAATTTGTCTTGGATTGACGCGTTACCTTAACCTCGAATCCGTCGATTTTCCGAAGGTCTTAAATCACGCTCTCTAAATTCTTATTGATTTTCAGTGACAAGAAAGGTCTGTTGAAAGACAACGGGGAATCTGGCACAGACGATACTTTGAGGAGGTCTAACAATGGGCACAAAGAGTACGAATACAATAAGACCACAGGCATTATTACCGGGAAACATTCCTCTGTTTAGAGTAAAGAATTTTAAAACGTTTAACGTGAATCGTACGATTTTTTTGTCGGGAAATCTGTTGTCATTGTTCGGTCTTTTCGTACGCCTGTGACGATAAACGAGGCGGTCGATTTTTATTATAATGGCTTTTCTGTTTGTGTTTTATTTCCTTGTATGATTTATAATCTAAACGTCAACTTTTATCACTATTATTCCCGTTTATATAGATAATAACTATGTAAAAAATAAACGGAATATTCACAGCATAAAATCATTCAATTTTGTGTATTGATGTTGAATTACGGATACGTATTGGTTCATTTGTCAAAAATAACATAAGTAGATAGTATAAGTAAGAATTTAGGTCCTGTTTCAAAAAACTTGAACCCGCTATGTGTGCGACAAATTAAAATAAAGAACTTAACTATATGCATGCACTATATGCATGAACTATATAGCTAAGCGCTTCGATATTATTTTTCGCCAAAAATAATATATTTACCTAACAATATAATATCTAGTTTAGAAGCTTGCCTAACTTTTGGATATCATAATTAATTATTTTATTTCAATAAAATGAATAAATCGTACGGTTCACGTTTATTTTTTGGTAAGTAAAGTGATATTGTGTATTAATGGAATGTCTTAAAAGTTTATGTTTGTAATGATATTTTATTGAGTGAACGATGAATTTTGAAGTTAATGTTAGTTACCTACTTACATAACATTAATAATTTTTTAAATTAGTTTTTTTTTATAATAGACTATTTATTGTATCTGACATCAAAAAGGATTACTTACTAAGTTATGTTTTTCTTATAAGTCTAGCTAAATCGCCGAATATAATTAGATTACGTGTAAATAGGCACATAATATATATATGTCACTTTATAAATATGTATAAAAATTATATAAATATATTAAAATGAAGATACTTTTAACAAAACCGTACAAACATTTGGAAGTGCCTTTTTTGAAAAATAGTGTAGTGCAAAATTATGTTATATTGTTAAATTTTTCAATTCTAAAATACCTATACAATAAAATGTCTGTTATTTATTAAATGTTGTCAATATTTTAAGTCTTACTTTTGTAAAATATAAATATAAATAATATTTATACCTGATATAGATTTAATAATTTTAACATTTTAAATAAAGCGAATATAATAATTTTAAGCTTAAAAATTCTTATTATACCAAAGAGTAAATCGTAAATAAACATATTATAGCAAGACTAGTTCGTACTTGAAATATAAATTAATAAAATATAAATATTATTTTTACTTATTATTTATTGCATAAAACTAATAATTATTACCTTAAGAGTCAAGTTGTCAGTAGTTTTGCTATAAACTATTACATTTTTTCTTTCATTAACAATAAACCATATTATAAATTGAGTTGATGTTTATTTAAATAACCTTCGCGTATCCAGATCTCACCCGTTTGTATAGTTATATGCAAACGTAAATGCAGTAGGTACGAGTAATGTGGGAGAGTCAAGCTTCGGCATGAATAGGTCTGCTAACCCTGGAGTGATACCACGGCCTCGAAACCGTGGGCGTGATACAACAAATTTGTCACTTAAAGGCATATATGATGAAATGTAGTGGCACTGGCGAGTTTGGCGACATTCCCTATTTATCTATAAGACTCAAGCAATCGATCTATTCTACATATTATATTTTAATATAGACATGCCTATTTTTAATAAAACAGAAACACAAACGGAATTTACACTGAAAACCTTTCTTGGAAATCTCAAAAACATGTCTAACTTTACCTGACAAACATAGTTACTTATCTTAGCTGTAGTCTGAACATTTTCTCCACATAATATTATGTTAAACCTTAAAAGTAAGACGAGATGACTACCGCAAGGACGTGACTTTGCACTAATCCCACCGTATTTAAACCTTACTTTCTACTTCATTACATGCATACAGCTGAAATTATTTTTTTGTATTTTGTAAGTAATTTAAGTGGAAAGTTAAAGAGGTCTTTGTTTAGCTTATTAAAGCATACTTATTTATGTATAAATAAAATATTGTTTATTGAGTAGGTGCTAACAGACGGATCACATGTTTTTTTTATGGTATATGTCGGCAAACTAGCCTACGTATTACCTGCAATACCAAAGGAGTTACGAGGGCGTTGCCGGCCTTTTAGGGATAAGGGTTTCAGATATTTAAGGATTGGGAAGGGATGGGGGTAGTCGTTGGGCCTCCGGCTCACACGGCGAAACGCAACGCTGTGGTTGTTTCACGCCGGTTTTCTGTGAGGCCTTGTATAACTCCGGTCGAGCCGACTCAATCGTTCTGAAGCTTGGTTATCCTACACTTAAATGAAATAATGGTAAGCAATCAACGCTACCTATGGACCTTGGACAAGCGCAACCTCAAGTGTGTAAACAACCTCGGGACCATTGGGGATTTAAGGATTGGGCCTCTAAAAACCACAGACGTATTCACAATTTCTTTATATTTTATACTTTTTAGTTAGACTCTAGGCGTTTGTCATTCAACACAAACATGTATAAAAAATATGATTGTCTAGCTGTTTATGTAATAAATCGAAACGACAACTTAGTTCAGGACCTTTCAAGAGAAAATTCAAACATTCAAATCAGTGCCTTGACAATAAAATAGATGGCGTTGATTATCTCGCTGTAATTAACTCTAAATCGTTAATCGGATTGATTCATGAAGCAATCGTTGGTGCGACCTAAATCATTCTGAATACTAAATGAATTCGATTCCAAAGGCTACACGGCGCACCTGTTATTGAAAATTAATACTTTAGAAGACGGGGATCGGTGATATAATCCGGTAAGTTATGAGAGTACGGCGTTTTGATTTTAAAGCACTAACGACCGGGGTGCAATCATAATACTTTTTTTTTCACATTTAATGCATGTTATTCTCTCTATACAGACTCTTTTAATCCATTTATCTATTAAAAAAAACCGCATCGAATTACGGTACGTAGTTTTAAAGATTTAAGCATACATAGGATTATAGGGACAGAGAGAGCGATTTTGTTGAAAGTTAGGTTTCTAAATGCACTTTGTAAATGATGAGTTAGACTGTGTATTTGTAATGTGTCATAGCGAACTTGTTGATTTAAGCACTGAAACAAAGGCTGGAATGATTAGAATTGAATAACTGATAGTTAAGTGGTCATAAGAACCGATTTGCTTCCAGATGGTAGGTAAGGTTAAGTTAAAACTGCGACCCGCAATTCCCACCAAAAACAAATCCAAGATACTTACCAGTGTATAAAATTATATTGTGATACCATTTATTACATAGGCTAGACCGTTTATTAAGTGGCTAAACAAGCTAGTTGGCTGCTCTACCTAAACAAGTAGGTATTTTAATTTAATCGTAGTCAAAACTTTAATGTAATGTATGGTTTATACTTACAGGTAATTTTGAAACAACAAAAAGTCATCAAAAATAAAAACATATGACATGATAGTTTTCTCGAAACTCGTGATTCATATTTAAGTACGTGCATCCAACACAGCAGCTTAAAAAAAATTAAGTAGTATTTCGCAAATTCATCCAAAAACTGTCAACACACGAATAAAATAATAAAACAAGAAGTCATAATTTCATGATCTGATCACAAAATGATCAATCCCGCTCCTCGTTATGCTTGGGCCATCCATCCTCACCTGCAACGCTGATATTAAACGTTTGAACTGCAAAGCAGACGAGCGTGTTATTGAAAAATTCTAGTATTTTATAACATGTCACCGCTAAAAACAATTTAAAGCCAACTCCATGTTCTACCTAACTCAATACATGTATGAGGAAAATTCAATCAAGGCAGAAACTTTACTGAACTCGAAAAATGAATTGTTTCGTACATAGTTTTCGCGCCAAATAGTTAATCAGGAAAGAGTTAAGTAGAAAAACACGAAAATATAGTGTACGGCAAAATTAAGAAAAAGAATATAAGTACCTAATTAGTCTTAAAATGTTATATTAATTGCATTAAGAAGTTTTAATTCTAGAAGTCTTAATTCTATTCTTCTTTAATGGACCAATTATAGACTTTGACCACAGAAAATCTCGAAATGGAAAAACACAATGATAGTGTATACATTGTAATAGTGACTGCACAATTGGTGCGGTGCTAACGTTTTTTAAAAGCAAACCAAAACCAAAAAATGATACGATGTTTACTTGTGAATAGACTAGATTTTGCCTCCTTTCTCAGCTATCGCGTATTTGAAAACTAAACACACAAAAGCTTTTTGTGTGTTTAGTTTAATAACGACGTCGACCTAATCAACGTTTTATAGCGTGGAACCAATTATCATGACACTTTCACAAGGCACTTTATATTTATTTAACACTTTATATACTTACATAAAAAATACATACAAAGGCGGACTTAATGCCCGCGTTATATATCCTTTTAAAACTTTCCTTATCTCCCAATATCCATTTATCACCATTCTCCCACTAAAACTCCACACAAATCCCTCTATTTCCATTAGACAGACATACCAACAGTTCCGTAGAAATCTGGAAAAGTAAACGCAAGCAATACGGTCGGACGATGCAACTGTCAGTTCCCAAGCATAAGCGGCTATTTGGCCAATTTATAGACTTCCTATCTGAATGGCCCGCAGGTGTCAATAATAGCTTTTAAAGGTAACATTTTCCGGTAAAATGAAACTTCTCGTAAATTAGTTGTGTCTGTGTTAGACATCAACAGAGAAAATAACAGGTAGTGTTTAGGAGAAACTTGTTTTTACTTCGTTTAAAAACTGTAGTTAAATTTGATCGCTTTTCTCTTTTGTTATATTTTTCAACATTGCCATATAAGTACTCAGCCGAATCCCCGGCTTGTCTTTACAACATCATATTATGCTTGTAAAATTTTAAATTCTCAGTAAAAAGTAAAAGGTTCTTTAAAATACTCTCTTCTGCTGAATAATTTATATGTAAATGAAAGTCAGATGAATTTTCCGATGGTAATTATTATGCCAGTTTCCAGAAAATAGATAACAGATATCTTATAAATGTGGTATTGACTCATAAACTTATGTTAATTACGTAGTTTGGTCTAATATTAAGTAGATACTAACTTAGCTATAAATTTCATAAATGACCATAAATATTATTATTCTTTCCTACTTACTGGTTACTCCCACGCAGTTTCATTAACTACCTAGCCTTTCTCAATTGATTTATTTATTTGAATAGTTCGGCACAAAGCCTCGATAAAAATAAGTACTCGATTCTTAAGCATAATATCCTTAATACAGGTACATAAGTAAAAGAAAAAAAACATAATGTGTACAATATTATTGCTATATTCAATCATCTCTCTCACAAAACTTCAAGCATTTTCACAAAAAATAAATTGATCAATAAATAGACTATCCAACACAAAAATAATTCTACAATACGGACTTGTAAAGATTAGCGCATTCAAGTTAACCAAAAATCAAACTCTTCAGTTTCATAATTAGTGTTAGTATAACCGATTAATGGTTTTTACTTTTCCATTATTATTTAGAATAGTATAATGGTATTACAAAATAACAGAAGCATTGTTAATTTTACCGTGAAAGTGTACAAATATTGCGTTATGTGTTTGAATATAAAAAAAAAAACAAATAAAAAATCAAAATAGGGCCTACCTAACTAGAAAAATACGGATAAAGGATATTAATTATAATAGATATATTAAGTTTGGGAGAGCCTGCTTGCCCATACTTCGGCACGAATGGGTTGGTTCGACCGGCGTGATACCACAGTCTCACTCAAAACCGACCTGAAACAACAACGGCTTTTTGTTTCGCCATGTGAGTGACGTTGCCGGAAGTCCAATCCTTTCCCTCATTCAATCACTCCCCAATCCCAAAATCTCAAAATTTCTAATCCCCAAAAGGTCAGCAACGCACACGTAACTCTTCCGTTGTTGCGGGTGTTCATGGCCAGCGCTTATTGCTTACGATCAGGTAATCCGTAAGTAATCGTTTGCCATCCTAGATATAAAAAATGTGTTACAAAACCAAAAAAAAAATCTAGGGTAAGTTTGAAACATACAACAAATATCGCTTAAAATTAGATGAAAACAATCATCATCAGCCTATAAGTGCCCACTGCTGAGCAAAGGCCTCTTCTCATATGGAGATGGTTAGAGCATTAATCACCAAGCTTGCTTAATGCGGGTTGGCGATTTCAAACTTATAATTAGAATTTATAAGTC